ATACTTAAAACAAGTTCAGGAAAAGGAGTAAATATTATTAAGAATTATTATAATAACCAGTGATGAATCATAATAATAACTAGTGATGAATCAGCCATTAGTTTCAAGTCTTAAAATTATCGGATGCACTTCTCACCCCTAATAATGACACCATATTGTGTTTTCCGTATATAACTAATTAAGTTTTATTTTTTTATTTCTCTCTATTGTTACTTGGCACATGCATAGTTTCAAAGAAATTCATATTGATCTTTTAACGTACATAATTAATACACAAAAAACCAACCACAAATCTACTATTTAGATAACCAAAGAAATAGAAATTATTCATCGCAAAAATATAAACATGCTTTTAAGGAGTTTCTTACTCTTCATAACTTCCATTCTCCTGACCACCCCCTCCTTCTCCTCTAGCTGCAGCCTCCGCTTCCCTCTGCCGCCTCGCCATCTCTTCCTCCTCCCTACTAGCGGCTTCCCCTTCCCCTCCTCCATGTCCTCCACCACCACCATGTGCCCTCTCCTCTTCTTCCCTCCTCCTAGCCTCCTCCTCTTGTTGTCGCCTCCTAGCCTCCTCTTCTTGCTGTTGACGTTGCCTAGCGGCTTCTTCCTCCTTCTGCCGCCTGGCCGCCTCCTCTTCCTGTTGTTTCCTAGCCTCCTCTTGTTGTCTAGCCGCCTCCTCTTCTTGCCGCCGCCTAGCCTCCTCCTCCTGTTGTTTCCTAGCTGCTTCCTCCTCCTGTCGCCTCCTAGCCTCCTCTTCCTGACACCTAGCGGCCTCCTTCTCCTCCTGTCTCCTCCTAGCCTCCTCTTCCTGCCGCCTAGTGGCTGCCTCCTCCTCCTGTTGCCTAGCGGCTTCCTCCTCTTCCTGTCGCCTCCTAGCCTCCTCCTCTTGTTGTTTCCTAGCCTCCTCCTCTTGCCGCCTAGCCTCTTCCTCCTCCCTCTTCCGTGCTTCCTCTTGCTCCCTCCTTTCCTCCTCTTCCCGCCGTTTGGCCTCCGCTTCCTCCTCCCTCCTCTTAGCCTCCTCCTCCTCCCTCTTCCGTGCTTCCTCTTGCTCTCTCCTCTCTTCCTCTTCCTGCCTCTTGGCCTCCTCTTCCTCCTCCCTAGCCTTCTCCTCCTCCTCCTCCCTAGCCTTCTCCTCCTCCTCTCTTTTCTTTCTCTCCTCCTCCTCCTCCNNNNCCCTAGCCTTCTCCTCCTCCTCTCTTTTCTTTCTCTCCTCCTCCTCCTCCTCCTCCCTAGCCTTCTCCTCCTCCTCTTTCTTCCTCTCCTCCTCCTTTTCCCTCTGAATCTCCTCTTCCATCAACCTCTCTTCCTCCTCAGCACACGAAGTACACTCAACAATAATCGCTTCCGTTTGACCCTTCAAAACCTCATCTATCGTCATATTACTCACCCCAAAAGAAGCCGCCACCACACTCTTATCCAACACCTGCAACACCGAAGCTGTCCCGACCAAATACTGCGGATGATTCTTCTTCGTTGTAGTCGTAAACCCCATAAACACAAAACTCCCATTATTAAACGACATCTGAGCCATCGGATGATATCTTGGCACCACAAACACATCACCTTCTTCAACCCTAAACCTCCAATTTTTACACTCCGTTTCATTTAAACTGCCGGGACACACCACATTAACCATCCCTCGCCCTCTCACCACCACCCCTATCTCCGCCGTAGTTGGGTTCCAGTGAGGCGCCATCATTGCCCCCTAATTACAAAACCCACCATAATCAGAAATTGTAAAGTTTATGTAAAAACTAGAGCTTACACGATTAAAAAGTAACCGACCTTGGTTAGATTGACCATGAAGATACTGAAATCGGAATCCTTTAATGCCTTCAACTGTTTACTTGTAACAACCAGACTCCACCCGTTGCAATTCTCAACGTCGTGATCCGCCGTGAGGATATTATAAGCTTTGTCTTTTTTATTATTATTAATATCGATCATGTTATTCTTCATACGACCAAGGAAAGCTCTCATTATTCTGTAATGGACTTCCCATAACTCATTCGCCTTTGCCTGAGTGACTCCATGAACTATCATCGGTTGTGTTCCTCCACTTCTTAACTCTTCGATCACTTCCACATCCACCTGAATCACATAAATTTATAACCATTTACATCGATCTGTGACAAAAGAAATGTTCTTAGATTAAGAGAATGCTTACGCTAAATGCAGCTTGAAGAACTCTGTTGTCGAACCCAAGAATCAAATCACGAACACTGGCGTATGCTCCGAACGATGATCCTTCCTGTATTATGATAAACGATTAACAGATGAAAGAATTCTCATGATTGATCAATTGTCATATGTTTCTATTTTATGTATCTGAGTTTGTGTCATCATACTCGTATCTCCTCTTTGGAATCGGAAAAAATGGCGTTTATTCTTAGTTTCCGGCGATCGGGATCTAAGTTGCTTTGTAAGTAGAAGAAACTTCCGGTGCTCAGCCGGTAAACGTCTCCGGCTTGCAACTCCACTTGCCGGAGTTTATCGTCATCGTTTTCAAGATCAACCCAATTCAGAGTTCCACTCCCTCCAAACCATTAATTAAATGCATGTTAATATTATAATTGATCGAAATCATTTTGAATACAAAAGCTGCACCCAAGTAAATAATTCATAATGTGCATTCAGAGGTTGTAGACTTGTACCTGAGTCGACATAGAAAACCATATCGGAGTGAAGATGAACAGGAAGTAAAAGAGAGTTAGGTTCCATGGTGATGAACTGGAGATGATAAAACCCATCTCTACCATCTCCGACTTTAATAGCTGAGATCTCACCGAACTCTGTCGTAACCACACTCCATCTCTCACCTTTCTTCACCAGCGCTCCATGCCTCGCCGGCACCGGTACCGGAATACCGCCACCTTCTTCCTCCCCTTCACCAACATGCAATGGTGTTGTTGGGTTAGGGAAGAAGAAGCAGAGAGTTACAAGAAAGTATGCAGAGAGTATAACACGAAATGAAAGAGAAGTAGTAGCCATTTTTTCTTGAATTTACGATCAGTGTAGTATGAGAGTGAGGGAAAGTGGTTTGATTTATTACAAAGTGTGTGAATGTCTGAGAGCTATGTGGCAGTGGGTGTTGGACACGTGGGCGACGTGTGTGGCACGTGGCAGAGGGTTGGCTTAAGGCATTGACTGTCTTCTTCTTATACATGCACTGGCTCTATCGTCCATGAAGTTTCTGAGAAGCATCCCTTCATATATACTACTATCAATTATTTTTCATTATATGTATAGGCTTTAAAATAAAAAATCTATATAAATGAGGATTAAGAATTTTATTTTAAAGACGATACAAAATGACTATCTTGTTACTAAAACTATCATAAAACAACAATTTGTAAAATTGATTTTGTAAAACTATCATAAAACAACAATTTGTAAAATTACTTTATTATACATAATTAGTTTTGAATCGTCCCACTTCAAATTCAAATTCACCCTTTATTTTGTTCAAATTCAAATTCACCCTTTATTTTAGAAACAGATAAAAATTTGGTGGAGCAATTTCTCAATATCTTTTTGGGAAAATGAATTAAAAATGTAATAATGTTTCAAAAACGTACAAAAACACCATTATTCTTTTTTTAGTGAAAAAAATACTATTAAAATGAAAATTTTGTACAAAAAATACCAACAAAATACAAATAACCCTTTAGAGTGACCTGAGGTAACCGGTTACCTCAGGTCAACTATTGAACGTGCTTTAATAACCTTCATCCATCAAATTAGGGTTCCATCTTCATTCCCCTTCTTCATCTCCTTCGGATCCTATGGCATCTTCAAGTTCATCAAATTATTCTAAGTCAAATTCAAACATTTCCAAGAGCAGGAGCACAATTGATTATGCTCACCCTTGTCACTGTGAGAAGCCTTCCCAAGTTTGGACCTCAACTACGGTTGATAATCCGGGTAGAAAGTTCAGAGTATGTCGTAACTCACTAGTAAGTGGTTCTAGCATCTAACATCTACTTCTCCTTCATACTTAATTTATTATGTGAATTTTATTATGTATATTGAAGGATAAGAAGAAGAAGAAATGTGATTTCTGGGAATGGGTCGATCAAGATGAAGAACTAATAAAAGAAGACAACACTGAAGTCAAGATATCAATATCGGAAAATAATTTTTGGACACATAAGGTGAAGGCGGATAAAGAATCAATGAGTTTCAGAAAAGACTTGGATAAATTAACTAGGAAATATTGGAATCTCAAATGTTGTATGTTGTTCTTTGTTATGTTTTTTATGTATGTTATATTGAATGAAATGAAATTTGTAATGTAATGACTTTGGTAATGTATTTTGAAAGTTTGGTTAATTAAAAGTCTTGTATTAGAATTGAATCAATGTTTTATGGAAATAAATTTAGTTTTGATAAAGGAATGGGACCAATGATTTGTAAATATAATTGAGTGCTCATACTGGAATGGAATCAGTGATTCCTGGAATGGAATGGAATTATTGATTACTGCTTAATATTGATTCTTCACTCAGGAATGGAATTGATGATTCCTGATTAATAGTCATTGTGTATATTGAAATGGAATTAATGATTCCTAGTTAATATTGATTCTTCACACAGGAATGGAATCAGTGATTCCTGGAATGGAATGGAATTATTGATTATTGCTTTATATTGATTCTTTACACAGGAATGGAATTAATGATTCCTGGTTAATATATTGGAAAAAAGTTGGACCACATATTGGAATGGCCTTGTCCCTGTCCTTGTCCATAAATATAAACCACATACATTATCAAAGTGGGACCACATACATTAAATATAAACAAGTTATCAAAAGACACATTACACCTAACCACATGTGGCTTCATCAGTTTTTGACTTAAATGTAAAGAAGTTATCAAAAGATGTGCCCAACAAAAGATTCCCTACTAAAAGATGTCCTGCACTAAAGCTAACAAAAGATCAAGAAGACAAAAGCTAACAAAAGATGCCCTTCACAAAAGTTGTCCCCATTACTGCTCCTAGAGTGTGAGAGGATTTTCAAGACTTCCCCCTGTATCATCCTTGGTCACCACTTTCCTCCTCGACCTAAGTTTTGTGTTCCTCTGAGAAGGACCACACTTTCTCCTTTTCAAAGTTGGAGCAACCACTTCTTCATCAACCACTTGTTCAACCTCCACCTCTAAATCATCCTCTGAATCACCTCCAACTTCTTCCTCTGAATCACCTCCAACCTCCCCCTCTAAATCAAATCCAACATCCTCAGCTGCCATATGGCCCTGTCCTTGTCCTTGGCCCTGTCCTTGCCCTTGACCCTGTCCCTGTCCTTGTCCCTGTCCCTCACCCTCAAATAGCTCATGGTAATCAAAAAGATCTTAATCATCTACTGCATTAACCTGTTTGAGAGGACATTTCCTTTTGTTATGACCTGGTTGGGAACATAAACTGCATTTAGAAGTGGTCCCAACTTTGCTAATAGTGTGTTGTCACTTCTTTCTGAAATACATTTCTTCCTGTTTATCTTTGGTCTGCCAGGCATTCTTCTACGCTTTGGTGGTAAGATGGTATTCATATCATTTGTTGGCCACATTTCATGTCCATTTATTGGCTTAACATTATACCTGTAGCAGCTTCCAAACATTTGTGTTGTGTACCAAATTGCTACATACTCCTCTATATTCCCATTCAAGCACAAGATTGCAGAAATAGCATGGACACATGGTATACCTGTCAGCTGCCATGATCTACATCCACATGTTCTTTTATGTAAGTCAACTGCATACACCTCATTCAACCATCTACTCTCATATTGATGAAAACCACTTGGAATTACTCCCCAAAACCTGTTATGAAATGTAACATATAAGTTAGTATTGATATATATATATATATATATATATATATATATATATATATAT